CCAATAACATGTCGCCACGTGCTCTTACTCTTTACCGCGCGGCCCAACGACTCGACCCGGACCGGAACCTAGCATTGCTATGTTCGCATATTGCTATGTATTGCTCGGTATTGTTAGGTATTACTTGACAATAATGAGAAATACCGCTCTGTCAAGACCAATACATAGCAATACCGAGCAATACCTAGCAAAACCGGGGTATTGCTCGGTATTGCTAGGTATTGGTCTTGACAGAATGGTATTTCTCGTTATTGCCGAGCAATATCAAGCAATACCTAGCAATACATTGGTCTGCACAAATCAGCCAATACATAGCAATCTCGGGTCTGGTTCGGGTCGGGTCGTCGGGCTGCGCGGCAAAAAGTATGAGCACGTGGTACCATTTTATTGCCATCCGAACGTAGAGCTACGTCAGGACACTAGAACAAAAAAATTTGTAATTTTGACACTCTAGATTCATCAACGCAGTCTATTTTGCAAACATGTGATCTTAAGGCAACTTTGTGCAATGTGGTATCCATAGTTCATTGTTTTAGATGGCATTTATTTAAAGCAAATATGTGGCACCATTTCCAATCACACTTGAATCGATCATGAAGCTCTGGGAGCTCAACGATGTAAATGTTGTTCAATTACTAAGGGCATCTTCAACCAAAAATCTCATTTTTTCACTTCAAAATATCGTGAAACTAAAAAATGTCGTGTTTCATCTCCAATCGAACTCCATTTTGCACAGTAACGATCGCTCTCTTCTTTCACACGTTTCTTCGGCAAGTTAGGTAGAGATCAAAAAAATGGCGAAGATGAACAGTGCAACACCAATATTGGCGTTGCACTATTCATCTTTGATGAAATGACGTAAGAATTGTCGCTCGGTTGGAGCGACGGAAGAACGACAAACAGTTGTTTGCTGTTCCATTGGAGATGATCTAATCGAATACTTGATTTCAATTAGCTGAGCTATCAAAGAGGTGCCACTTGCATGGTCTCTCATTTTGGTAATGGGGGTATCAGCTGTCACTTCAAATGAAGCGCTTTGCGGCGTAACTAATTCCTCGACGAAACCCAGCGAGGCCACCCACCGGCATCAGACCCACACTTGCTTTGCCCCACTGAAAAGGCGAGGTCGTAGTAGAGTGAATTCGAACACGGGATGGGAAGTTTCCAACTATACTCACTCACCAACCACCTTAAGCCTCGATGTGGTGAAAAAAATTGGCTTCCCTATTTTCTCTGTTCAAGGCTTTGCATCAGTTCAAATTAATACTTTTGATGCGTTATTTGAGGAGATCGTACCAAAACCAGATCCCAAACAGCCATACTGTCTGTCATTAAAAGACATTAACCGTTCGCAGGCAATTAAAATATTTTGAACGAAACGGTCCAATCGCTAACGATGCAGGTATTCGTCTCGCATCTTTCAACGCATCTCCTTACAACAACGTCCAGCTACGGGTCAAAAACCCCAAAGCATTAATGCACCAAATGCCCTCTTAAACTCACAGTTAATAAATACATTAAAGCACCTATGCATAAATGCAACAATTTATTATTCTTTTTTTTTAGACATTTTTCATAATTAAAATAAATTTAGGCACACATCATAGATGCAAGCTTTGAACTTAAAACTTCTAAATAAATAACTAAAGCCCTGAAACCAACAAATCAAAATGAGCTGCAGCAATCCTAAAAATCAACAAATTATCAATAAATTTGTCGTTGATAGTTTTTTGAGGACATTTTAAGTCAATTTAAGACAAATTCACACACTCATCACATACTCGAACCTCAAATCCTTCTTTGTTGGTAGTTAAAACTCTCTATCAACAGATTTGTTGAGTCCAGGAGTATTCGTGGCGGTGGAGAAATATAAAGTTTATCGTCTTAGCGTTGTACAAAAATCTGGCACACAATCAGATAAGAGAGAAAGAGTCTAGCATTTATGAGATATCATTTACGTGGAAAACCCCCGAAAAAGGGGGAAAAACCACGTGACCTTGCCCAATTTGAATGAATCCACTAGTATTGTAGTTGATTACAAATGAGGCCTTTTCTTGGGAGAAGGTCTTAGCTTGATGTACATTTTAAAGAGTACACTCGACATACATAATAAGTCACTGAATTGGCATAGGATACGAGGATGGTAACGATTTTGAATGGGATTTGAGTGGTTTTTATTTTTTATTTTTTTATGAAAAAATTATTAAAAAAAAAAAGTAGAAAGGGAGAAAAATAATGTGAACTGATCTTTCACCCAAAATTTTATTTTTCTATATATCTATATTTATGTGCCATCGCTTTGCTTGTGATCTAATTTTGCATTTCGCCTTTATGCAATAATCCAACAATATGTGTGTTATTTCTTAGTAATTTTGACACTCTAGATTCATCAACGTAGTCTATTTTGCAAACATGTGATCTTAAGGCAACTTTGTGAAATGTGGTATCCATAGTTCATTGTTTTAGATGGCATTTATTTAAATCAAATATGAGGCACCATTTCCAATCACACTTGAATCGATCATGAAGCTCTGAGACCTCAGCACCGTAAATGTTGTTCAATTACTAAGGGTATCTTCAACCGAAAATCTCATTTTTTCACTCCAAAATATCGTGAAACTAAAAAATGTCGTGTTTCATCTCCAATCGAACTCCATTTTGCCCAGTAACGATCGCTCTCTTCTTTCACGCGTTTCTTCGGCAAGTTAGGTAGAGATCAAACAAATGGCGAAGATGAACAGTGCAACACCAATATTGGCGTCGCACTATTCATCCGTGATGAAATGACGTAAGAATTGTCGCTCGGTTGGAGCGACGGAAGAACGACAAACAGTTGTTTGCTTTTCCATTGGAGATGATCTAATCGAATACTTGATTTCAATTAGCTGAGCTATCAAAGAGGTGCCATTTGCATGGTCTCTCATTTTGGTAATGGGGGTATCAGCTGTCACTTCAAAGGAAGCGCTTTGCGACGTAATTAATCCCTCGGCGAAACCCAGCGAGGCCACCCACCGGCATCAGGCCAACACTTGTTTTGCCCCACTGAAGAGGCGAGGTCGTATTAGAGTGAATTCGAACACGGTATGGGAGGTTTCCAACCGTGCTCGCCAACCAACAACCTTAAGCCTCGGTGTGTTTGAAAAAAAAATTGTCTTCCCCTATTTTCTCTGTTCAAGGCCTTGTATCAGTTCAAATTAATACTTTTGATGCGTTATGTGAGGAGATCGTACCAAAACCAGATCCCAAACAGCCATACTGTCTGTCATTAAAGGACATTAACCGTTCGCAGGCAATTAAAATATTTTGAACGAAACGGTCCAATCGCTAACGATGCAGCAATTCGTCTTGCATCTTTTCAACGCATCTCCTTACAACAACGTCCAGCTACGGTTCAAAACCCCCAAAGCATTAATGCACCAAATACCCTCTTAAACTCACAGTTAATAAATACATTAAAGCACCTATGCATAAATGCAACAATTTATTATTCTTTTTTTTAGACATTTTGCATAATTAAAATAAATTCAAGCACACATCATAGATGCAAGCTTCGAACTTAAAACTTCTAAATAAATAACTAAAGCCCTGAAACCAACAAATCAAAATGAGCTGCAACAATCCTAAAAATCAACAAATTATCAATAAATTTGTTGTTGATAATTTTTTGAGGACATTTTAAGTCAATTTAAGACAAATTCACACACTTATCACATACTCGAACCTCAAATCCTTCTTTGTTGGTAGTTAAAACTCTCTATCAACAGATTTGTTGCATCCAGGAGTATTCGCGGCGGTGGAGAAATATAAAGTTTATCGTCTTAGCGTTGTACAAAAATCTAGCACACAATCAGATAAGAGAGAAAGGGTCTAGCATTTATGAGATACCATTTACGTGGAAAACCCCTGAAAAAGGGGGAAAAACCACGGGGCCTAGCCCAATTTGAATGAATCCACTAGTATTGTAGTTGATTACAAATGAGGCCTTTTCTTGGGAGAAGGTCTTAGCTTGATGTACATTTTAAAGAGTACATTACATGATGTGAATACAAAGAGTCACTATTGGCGTGTTCGGTTTCGCCTCGAGATTCGTGCTTGATCAAGATGATTTTTTGCGAATATATCAAGATTAGAATGAGCTCCGTTGCTGATCATTTCAAAATTAAACTTAAACATGGCACAATAGATTATTAGAAAAAAAAAATCTCAATGTAGAGAGCAAGGAAAACATGAAAGGGAAAAACAGAGTACCATGTACTTTGTTGTTATCTATTGGGGGCATTTTCATTCACTAATATGTACTCGACTATTGTGTAATGGATATTGCCTATTGCATTGCAATGTACAATTTCCTGCCTTAAACCTATTTTGATAACCTCCATTGCTAAAAGAATATTGCTCTTTCTGGCTTCAAACCTTTTACGCCATAAAATAAGTCGAAAAGGGGTAGTTGTTATTTTTATTTTACAACCTAAAAATTAATAAGAAGTTCTATCGTAAATACATCATCTGCAAAGCGAATTTTACAACCAACAATCTTCGATCATAGAAGCTTGTGATCAATATATAATACTATTAGTTCATTGTAAGAGCTTCAAAAAAAATCATAATTTAGATTTAATTTGGGACAACTTTCTTATTGTTTTAAAGTAGTTTTTCAATAAAAAAAAAATTGAATTAAAAAAAAATTACTACAAAATTATTTTAGAACCAAATGCTATTAAAATGAACAAATTGTGAGTTGTAATTAATTATGTAAATATTTATAATGTCACAAAGTTCAATTATATCCACCATTTAAAATAATGATGAAATTTTAAATTTGGGATTATATTTATTTGAGATTTTAAATAGAAAGATATATATATAATGTAAGAAATGTGACGAAGACCTTATGCTATGCATACTAATTTAATAAATAAAAGAAGGTTTAAAAAAGTGCAATTACAATTAAATTAAATTAAAATGTATAAAAGTTACTAACACCTCCTTAAATCTTCTTTGAGGCCGGCCTTCTCTCTGTTTCTTGTTCATCGTGCCTTCGCATCTATCCCGCCCATGTCCCTCAGATCCGTCCAGAGAAAGGCCTCGTTCGATTTACTCGAAGGAGAGAGCTCCGGCGACGGTGGCAGTCTCTTTGAACGCCTGATTTCCGATTTACCTGAAGAGAGCGTGTTCATCAATGGCCGCGCTAGCCGCCGAAAGCGCAGATCGAAGGCTGCGAAGAAGAAAAAAGCCGCTGAGGAACCTTTGTTGGAACTGGACGGTCCATTTATTTTATCTGAGAACAACGCGCCGCATGAGATTGGGATGAAATTTTCAGTTTGTGAGAGTCGATCAGTGGTGGAATCTGCTTGCGAGAGTACCGTGGTGGAGACGGACACCGAGAGCTCTCGAGTGAGTTGTGTTTCGTATGTGGAGTTGAGGCAGAGGTATGTGAACAGTGTTGCTTCTGATGATAATGTAGCCGATGATGCAAGCAACTATAAGGAGAGCTCGACAGCGGGGAAGTGGAAACCTGAATCTATTGGTGGCGCTGCCAAGTTGGAATCCATGGAGTCTTTAGATTGGAAAAGAGTCATGGCGGACAATCCTGATCTTCTGGGAGGTATTTGGCTAACAGAACTATGTTTGCCTTCTGTTTCCTTTCCATGTTCTTTGGAGATGCTCATGCTTCCATTAATTGTGTTTTGCTGCTCATTTTACTTGGAATTTTTATATTTTTATGCTTTTTTTGGCTGATGAACTATGAGCTATCTCCGCAGTTTATTGAATTTTTTTGGGGTAAACTTGGTTTGTTTAATAGTTAGCTCTTGATGGTTGTCATGCTGGTTAAAAAAATAGCAGAAAACCTCTTTAGGTTTATACTTATGCAGAAGCATTTAGTAGCACTTATTTCAAATTCGACGTTTGCAGGATGTACGAATGCATAATGAGCCTTTTATAGCCTATACACAGGAGGGCATACATGCATACGCACGGGGAAGTAAACAGCCTAGGAGGCTGTTGTTGTGCATAGTTTCATGTTCATTCGTGAAGGTAATTACATGACCTATCAATCCGTTGTCATAGGAGGCCTCCACAAGCTAGTTTATTTCGAGGCAAATGATTTGAAGTGATTCTAACTCACTCCCGTAATTCAGTTCAAGCATTTGTCTTTAGAAATGAATGAAGTGAGTTCATATTTTGGAACTCTCATGAGGGATTGAAAGTCACAATTAGTTTTGTTAAATATAAAAATAATTGAATAAAACAAAATTAATTGGCTGATTGGTTAGAACTTTGCTTTGACTTATAGTAAATAAAATAATATAAAATTATAAGAGTGTGGGTAAAAGTGAAACTCAACCTTGCCCAAATAAGCACAAGAACTTAGTTTTGTAAGAAATGTTTATTCGCAAAACAACCATAGTTCACTGAAACTCTCAAAAGTCCACTCAAATCAATTTCAAGTGCATCAAAGCAAACTAGCCCCAACTTTGTAATGCTGCTTTTTTTTGTTCCATTGTCACTAAGGCACTTAGAAGCTAAATGGAATTGGCTACGGATCATCTTTATAATTAAAGAGCCTAAATGAAAAAGTTAATGCAAAATTTTCCATTTATGACTCATTGTTGAAACTTGAATCCAAGCTTAGGTGAACCATTGTAAAAGTAGGTTTTTTCTTTTGAGGTCACTTTTGAAACTTGAATCCACGCATATGCAGATCACTGTAAAACTAGGTTCTCCTTATGAACTTTGAAACATCCTGCAACATTTTTCATGCTACTGTTAAGGAAGTACTTTTGGATAGGATAGTATGCTATTTTGAAATTGTAGAATTTTTATTTGTTGTGTTGCTATACATGTGAAAGAATAACTTGATACTCGGCCTAGAAGGGAGGTTCAAGATATGGGCATACAATATCTTGATAAATTGCAGCCAGATAGGAAGTCCTAAGTTACGGGAAATGGATGTAGCTAGATATAATATCCCTAGTATATAGATTTTTTTGTGTCTATCCGTCTCTCTCTCTCTCTCTCTCTCTCTCTCTATATATATATATATATATACACACACACACTAAATGTATACAATTACATGCACTATAAAGTTTACTGTAAAAAATTATTTTTGGTATGCAACTTGGTACATCTTCCATTTCTTGACCAAAAGAGGATGTCTAATGAAATGACTAAGTTGGATAACTGATGATGAACCTTTTTTTAACTATATATTTTTTTATGGCATGCATATCTAAACAACATTTGCATCAATTTATAAGGCAAAAGAGTTAGCAATGATGCAGGTCATTTTAGGGTCCAACATTTTTTATGCAGATTTACTATGAGATGCAGTAATAATGCAACTCTAAAAAAATTTGTGGTCTTAAACTTTTAATCTTTTAGCAATTATTCCTTACTTTCTATAAAAACCAAAAGTATGAAGGTGAACAACTTGAAAAAAGATTCAATGGCCTTATACTAGAAATTATGAAAAAATTTTGAATCAAGAATGCCACAAATTATGTTAAATTCATGTGCATGTTGAAAACTCTCAAACTAATAACATAGTTCACATTCAAAATAAAAGGTAAATTATTCACCAATAGCAAGCCTCACGCTTGTATGATGAAATCACCTCTCTCTAAAAAATTTTAAGTCTCTCAATACCATCGCAGAACTAAAAGCTGAAGGATGTTGCCATGCTTGGCGAACAAAAAAAACATAGGTTCAAGGGACTATATTGGAAGTAGTTGTTGAAGTCATTGCATCATTCATTATATTGGAAAGGGATTCATTTAGGAACTACATGGTGTTTGGAAATACGTGTGATTTGGTTAGCTGAGTGTATAGTTTAGAAAAGAAATGAATGTAGAGCTTAGGAAATGAAAGATAAAAAATAAGAATTTTTGTTTTAAAAATTGGTTTAGATGTTAAAGCTGATAAAATTGAGAAAGATATAGAGGGGGTTGTAAGGAGTTTAATAAAATAATATGCGATGCAAAGAATTTAGTCTTTAAGGATTTATATAATATATTAGATAGAAAGGAGGGCAAAAGATGTATATATAAGTTAGCTAATTTAAGAGATAGGAGAAGGATCTTGTTCAAATGAAGTGCATTAAGGATGAAGATCAAAAAGTGCTTTTTTTAGAAGATAATATTCAATACAACTGGATGAGATATTTCGATAAGTTTTTCAAATGAAGATTATGAGAATACAATTGACTTTAGTGACTTTAGCACCCTAAATGAAAATAAAATTTTTGTTTGATCGTCTTATTAGCAAAACTGAAATTAGAGAGTTTTTAAAGAAAATGAATTGTTGAAAAATAGTTGGATCTGATGATATTCCAATAGAGATGTGAAAGGCTTATGATATGAATGAATTTCTTGGCTTACTAAATGCTTTAATGTTATTTTGAAGACTAAAAAGATGCCAGATGAGTGGAGGAGTGTGTTGCTTCTTATTTTTAAGAATAAATGCGATGCACAAGAATGTGTGAATCATAGAAGAATTAAGTTAATGTGTTATACATTAAAACTATGGATGAGAGTAATTGATCATAGGTTACGATGTGATACTAATGTTTCTCAAAATCAATTTGGATTCATGTCGGGTAAATCTACTATTGAAGCTATATATTTATTGAGAGGTTTGATGGAAAAGTTTAGACAGAATAAGTAGGAACTGCATTTGATATTTATTGCTTCCTAGCACTACCATGAATTCAATAATTCACTCAATGGTAATAATAGCACAGCGGTGTCAGCTATTCTGTGTATGAAAGATATATTCTTTTGTGTTGCACTGTTTATTGCAGAACTTCATATTTTATTTTCCTTAATGTTGTTATTTTATGCAGAAGTTTCAAGTGTAGAGATAGCGCCTATGAAATACTTTATGGGAGAAATATATGGTGGAAATTCTCTTAGAAGCACAATCTCTGTGGGGAATGAGAAGAAACGGCAAAGGGTCTATAATACCATGTTTCATGTTCCATTTAGGTGTGAAAGGGTACTTCCAAATCTCTTTTAATTTCTTCATTGGTCTGTATTTAGAAGGAATTTTGTAATGGCAGTCCATATAATTAGTATTAATGTTGGTATAGCATTTACATTTTTATGTTCGAATTTAGCTGTAATTCCAAGTGCCATGCAACATTTGGTTTGCTGGCAAGGTCTTGTTCAGTAGACTATATATTTCATTTTAGCGTAGTTAATATTTATTGACAATTGCATCTTTTTGTTAAAATCACGTTTTCAATGACCTAGGCCACTTTTTGGGAAGTAGTGAAACATTCTCATGAAAGCTGTTGCTTTATCAACAGTTGAGTAGGTTATTTGAAAATGTCTATTCAAATTATTTGCAATGCGACATTTTTTGGTATTGAGGATGCTACTGATATGTATTTACTTAATGTCCATTTTAATTAAGTTTATACGTATAGTTTTGTCTATTTACTTTTTTCTAAGGTATTATTAGCGTTCTGATGTTGACTTGAACTCCTGCAGCTTATTATGGCAGGCTTCTTTTTCTGTGTAGATTCATTTTTGTCACTGTTAACAATAATGCCAGCAAGAATCCTAATAATTATCTGGAGGGTGCTGAGAACCAGGTGTGTAATTTTCTTTTTCGTGTGTAAAGTTCTTATAGAAAGCATGTCAGAAATCACTTGTGGTTCATGGATCTATAGCATTTTCTTCTTGACCCTGTAAGTTGGTAGCGTCTATTACAAGCTTGATTCTAGGCTATGACTGATAACTTAATGGCTCAGGATTGTATGCAGACTGTGGATCTAGAATAATCTATTGATATCTTTCAAAATTGAACATCTTTCTTAAATTAGGTTGAAATAATTTTGTAACAATTTTCTTTCTTATGTTCAGAATTCAATATATAAAAGTAATTGCTTTATATATGTATGCCAGTTCATGGGTAGGTTGGTATTTTTGAAGTATTCTTTGTTGACTTTAGGTGTTGTTTCGTTTGAAGTATTTTAAGTCTAGAGCAAAAGAAATGCATGAGTTCTAAAAATTTTGATTTTTCTTGGATGAAAAATAGCTTTGAAGTAATTCTAAAATCGCCAAATTTGGGATATTTTTTAATACCCCATGTCACCTTTTTTGCTTGTGGCCAGCACCCACCCCAGCTACCACCGCCTCAACGCCAATGGCTGCCACTGCCTTCACTATTGCTGGATGTCTATCACCACCATTGTCGCCACCGGCATCCTTTGCAATCACCACCTGCCTCCTGTCACCACTCATCATTTTTTTTTTGAAAGGATGCACATTATAACAATGCACAAAAAAATTACATTTGATTTCTATTCAACCAGATAACTTATGCATTTTTATAATGCATGTATTTGCTTTACATTGTATTTAAAGCTCCTATGAATTTCAAATTCTTCCAGCCAAACAGCCCCCCTAGGTTGCAGTTTTACAAATGCTTCACAGATATATTAATGTTTGAATTACTTATCAATGTATGTTTTAATTAATGGTAATGACTGTCAAATGAGATTCTTTTTTCAATTTTTTATTAACGAAAGAACACATATTTCCCACTTTAGTCTAACATTCCACCAGTTCTATTTTGCAAGTGTTGGTACTTAGTAACTTTTGACTTTAAAATGATAAAATTGTTCATAGAAATACATTGTACTATGTCTTTGAGTAATTTGTAAAGTGAACTTGTGGCAATGGATTTGAATTTTGGAAATAGCCTCTATGCGTTATAGGGGTTTGTGTTCATCAACCTCTACCGAGATATTGCATTAGTTGGAGCTTCATTTATTGGTTATTCCTTTTTTCTGGAGTAGTTTAGGCAAATTCTATGCTCACTAAAAAGTAGGATTTCATCTGATGTAGAAACTACCATCATTTATGGTGTTTAACATGCACCTCAAATTGAAAATGCCATAATTGTGGAGATGGGCAAATTGTTGTGTACTTTTTGTTTGTTTCTGTTACTTTCAGGGTGTAATGTTCTAGCTAAATATTGAAGCTTAGGCACACATCTTCATCTTTTCACAGCCCCACATTATTATTTGAATAGCTTATTGAAATCTGCTACACTAATTCTCCTATTTTTAAGAAATTCTCTTACTTATTATTCTACGTTTATTCTACTGTTGCCTTATTGCTCTTGTTCATCTTTAAATAGTTCTAGGAATTTTCCAGGGAAAAGCCAACTTTACTAAATTGAATGCATGTGGTAGACTTGCACGTGAATTTTCTGCAATGTTTATTTTTGCACTGTCCTGCAGAATTCTTTTCTCATAACTTAAAATAATTTGTGAGTTGATCTTTAATAACTTTTGACAGACATTTTCAGCGACCAAATGCTGCAGAGCTGTCTGATTTTGGTTGTTTTATAGTGTTAGTTCTTGGTGTCACAACTTTACAGAGGACAGGTAGGAACATTTTATGCTCTCAGAAATAGTTTTCATTTCAATTTTCTCAGCACCTACACCTTCACATGTTAGAACTTGTAATTTGTGGTTTGGATACATGTTATCATTAAACAAAGTTATCATAACCATCTCCCATAAATTATTTCCTTTCTTGTTCAGATATCAGTTTAATATACCACATGATAAGGGGGCAAGGAACAGTCAAGCTCTATGTGGTTTATAATGTCTTAGAAGTGAGCGAAAAATTTTTACTTTGCATATTTACTTCTATTTTACAATTAAATTTGTTGATTAAACCTCTTTTTTTGTATTTATAATAGGTTTTTGATAAACTTTGTCAATCCCTTGGTGAAGATGTTTTGCAAGTTCTGTTTAGCTCGGCGGAGAGTTTGTCAAGTTGTTCTGCAGAAAATTTCAAGCTTGAAGTTGGAAAATTTATTTTTGATGCAGCCATTGCTATTGTTTCATTTAATATCCTTGATGATTAATGCTTCCTTCGCTTTATAATTTTTTATGTGTTTGTGTGTTCGAGCATCATATCCTTAACAATTTATGTTATCTGTGTGTTTGCATGCCTCATGTGGGTGATAATTTTGTTTGTATCCTTAACTGTTAATAATTCTTCATTCATTTATCTTATTAGCGCAGGCAGTTACCCTTTCAACTTGCATTATTGCCCACAATAATGCTTTGCTTGCCTTATTGGTGTCAAATAACTTCGCCGAAATAAAGAGTAATGTATTCAAACGTGTTAGCAAAGACAACCTACATAATCTTGTATATTCAGGTGGGTATTTATTTTTTGAATTTCATAAATATCTGGTGGATGTATGTTGTCACCTTGTTCGTTATGGATTTATGATAAAATCAATAAATTAGTTCTGAAACACTTACCAAACCAGCGGTTGCTTGGTGATTATCATCAAAAGAATTTGTTCCTTAGTAGATCCGTTTTTTTTTTTCCCCATGTTTTTCTACAGATACTGCTTCTATTTTAGAATGCTATACTATAGATCTTACTTCCTCATCATTGATTCTAATTTCATCATTTGAGTACTCCTGAAATGTGATTCGTTCAACCAAAATTAGCAGATATAAAACTGGATAGTTGTATCCCTTAATCCAACCAACTTCACAATCAGATAGGCATCATGTATTTCATTGTTTTTTATATTTCAAGCATAGTCAATTTTTAAAATGTGCAATATTGTTGGTAATTTAATATGTTTTAACTTCCACTATTTTCAACATAAGATTTTCTTATCACAAATAACACTCCTGTTGTTCTACATTCTCTTTTGTGTGACAGTTTTACCAATTTTCATTGTTTTCCAATTATTTCCAAAATTAATCGTTACAGCCTTTTTAAATCATTGCTTAATGGCTTTTTATGAGCAGATATAATAGAAAGGTTCCACATTACTGCGTTTGTGTTATTTGTGCTTGCTCAAAATATCTTGGAGGCAGAGGGTTCCTGGTTTGAGAGCTTTCTTATGGTAACTTCCACATGTTCAGATCATTGGGTAATATAAACTTGTTATTTTGACATAGCGTATCTTTTGTTTTATCAGAATGCTTTCATGGTTTACATGTGTGAAATACTAATTGATTCAATCAAGCATTCTTTCCTTGCAAAATTCAACGATATAAAACCAGATGCATACTCTGAATTCCTAGAAGACCTCTGCAAACAGGTAATTCATCAGAGTTGAGGAAATTTGTTTTACCTGTGCCTTGTTTCTGCTGCAACAGTCGTTGCAATATTCCTTAGAATAATAATATTGGATGATTATTTATGTTCATGTCCTCAACTTGGTTTATATGGTGCATGAAAATCACACACTCATCTCGCTGTACCTTAAAATGAAGTATCGGAAAAGCGATTTATTTTGTGAAGCATACCTCGCTCAGATGATAGAACTGGCTCTTCTTGTTATTGCAACACTTCTTTTTATGAAAATAATTTAGTAGTAATTGACCTAATTTTGCCTTGATATCAAAGTGGAGTGGTTTCAAAGTACTTTTGAATTGTGATTAAGGATGAGGTAATAGAGCTTAAAGAAAAAAGACATCCATCATGCAAAGCTAATGAAATTTGAAGTTCATGACATCTCCCTACTTCAGAATGATATAAAGAAATGCTACAAAAGATGCATTGCTATTAAAAAAAATGTTTGTTGCATCTTAGTATAAGAATCAATCCTTGGGTGTTTCCTGTAAATGTTTAAGGATATACACATCATTAGTGAACGGAAGAGCATGCTTGTGGCGGAGGATGTAATTGAAAGCATTGGTAACAATGAAATAATTTTGATTGATTTCAACATTTGTAGGTGTGGCTTATATATAGCCAAATACAGAGATAAAATTTGAAAAAAAAAAAGTAGAATATAGGATATATTGTGGCAATAAAAATAAAATATTGAAAACTTAAATCTTTTCAATCTTATAAAATATTTATGATGACACTCTCAAGCTGGAGTATATATATTAAGGAATTTTTGCTTGCTGTAAAGATTGAAGAAATGGGTTGAGCTAAGGGCTCTAATAAAAATATCTACTAATTGTTCTTCACTAGAGACAAGTGATGTTCTTCTTTGATGTAATCACATCACTAATGAAGCAACAATCCACTTCAATATGCTTTATTTTTTAAATTTATTAGTGTATACAACAACAACAACATCAAACCTTTATCCCAAAACTTATTAGTGTATGATTAAACAAATTATCTTAGTTAGCAGCTCAATTAGTCAGACTAATTTAATATCCTAATTATTAATTAATAGCTTATTAACTTGATATTAATGCAAACTAACTGATTTATGAAAACATAATAGTTATTATTCTATTAATTATTTGCTAACTTGATAGTCAAGTATTCCTAAATTTTCCCGATGAGTTTCTTATTATGCTAATTATCCCCAATTAGTCTAATTAAAGTAATTGTTAATCAATTTATGAATAAATGTACTAATCAGTTTTCTTAATCATTAACTAAAAATTAATTATCCTAATTTATCTCTGATTAGCTGACAACAACAATATCATCAAGTCTTTATCTCACTACATAGGGTTGACTACATGAATCCTTTTTCTCCATTATATCCTATTAAGAGTCAAATTCTCATTTAAATCTAATAAAGTAAAAATCTTTTTAGGTCTAACTCTACATTTTTTAACATAGGTCAGACATATCTAGTACATCTACTCTCTTAAACGGGCCATTGGAAGATCGACGTTATATATGACCAAACCATCGAAGGAGACTCTCTCTAATTTTATCCGCTATCGGAGCTACTCCAAGTGTTTTACATATATGCTTATTTCACATTCTATCTCAATGAGTAAATAATCCACTCATCTCCCTGAGCATCCTCATCTCTGTAACACTTATCTTAATTTTATTCTTGTCTTTTAACCTTAAAGTATTGCAGGTGATGTGAAACCAACATGGGGAAACATGAATTGCAATTCAGAGATTAGTGAAAACTTTAACTTTGCAACATTAACAATAAAATTTAGCTTACTCAATTAGGATTCAAGAAAATTCGTGAGAGATTAAGCGGCAGGCATTGACTACACTTGAGAGTTACAAGAGTCTTGCAAAAGATAAACCAAAAGATAACTAAATAACGCAAATAGCTTTCACTAAAGCCACACGTTTAAAGTTTAGACCATTCACCTTGAGGTCCGACAAGCTCTCTTTGAAGTGGAGGTTAGCGGAAGAGGGTTGCAATAAAACTTAGCGATACCACTAAGACAGGTGTGATGCCAAGAGGACTCGTCGTCGGGAAGGAAGTGGGAGTTGGAGAAGCGGGCGGATGACTTTCGATGATCCACGTGTAGTCGGAGAATTGGTCGTC